GCCTCCAGTGGAGCTGGGCGGACTGGGGCTGGGGTGTGCCTGGGCACGCAGTCTCTGTCAGGGGTCGTACCGGGGGTGGGGGACGCAGTCGCGGCGCCCCGTCGAGCCCCGGGCGCCCCCGCCCGCCGGACGTGACAGCTGAAATACTCCCGCCGCCTCACGGCTGCGGTGGCGCTCAGTGGCCGGGCGGGGCCGCCCCGCTCCCGCCTGCTCGGCCTTTCCCTGGCTCAGCCCCATGCGGGCTCCAGTTCCCCAGGCCCTGGGGGGCAGCGCTGGCCCAGGAAGGGCACCTGGAGCCTATGGCACCAGGAAGGGATGGAGTCAGAGAAGCGGGGTTGGAAGGGACCTCCAGGGATTGTGGAGTACAGCCCTGCCGAGCCAGGATCACCCCTAGCCAAACCATCCATGGGCTAAACCGAGCATAAGGCTGCTGTGAACCCTGAGGCACTAAGGAGCAAGCGTGCCCTGTGTTTTGTGAAAGAAGACTTGAAGACATGCAAGCATCCCATAAGGGATATGGCTAACACTATTCAATACTCTTGTGATACGATCCTGGAAATGTTGCCAAGTTATTCTATATAGCCATAGCTGCCTTGGGTGAAGCCATCTTTCAGGAGGTGTGAGGGGCAGCAGGCTCCTCCACCCCTGCCTGGCCCTGCATCGGGGAGCTCTGGAGCAGGCCAGCAGCAGGCATGAGACAGCAGGGCAGGCGTGGCGGGGGGGGGATGGGGAGCAGATACCAAGGGGGTCTGCAGACAGGTCACCTCACTCAGGCGTAACCCAACTCCCCTTGCAAAGCTACTATTCCCAGGGCTGCCAAAGAAGCAGGCAGCTAAGTTTAGCTCCCATGGAGGTTGTGACCTTTACTTAAAGGCCATGGGGATGGATGGCTTATGCTGCAACCCTGTGGAGGGGTCAGTGAGGAGGGGGTGACAATCCTGGCACCTCTGCCTGCATCAGGAAAGGGGCCAGCCGCAAGGCCCAGCCTGCTAGGGGGAGCAGAAAAGTGACAAAAGATGGCTCCAGGCTGCTAGCACATTTGCAAGGCCTACTGTTTACTGAGCAAACATGAATGCTGCTGAGGACTCTGTGCAGGGGGCACAGGGCAGGTGAGAACAGACAACATGACAACTTCAAACCTCTCTGGCCCCAGTGTCGTCCCACTCAACCTCCCAACCACTTTTCCATAGCCAAAGCTCCAGTTGGGGCAAGCCAAGACTGGAGCTCGCAGGGACATACTCCACAGTCAACATCCCTGCTTCTCTGGGAAAGTCCAGGCTTGGAGTACATGTAGGTTGGGATATGCCACTTGTCTCATGCCTTGTCAATATGAAAGCCGCTTCCTCTGGGGTGGCAGGAGTGAGGGGCTGCCATGGAGCACAGGGAAGTGGAAGATGTGTTCCCCGGCACCTTGTAATGGCACATATAGGGTCAGTGGTCTGTTAGCCGGCTCCCCATAGACCTCTTTCACTCGTCTCTGACTGTGTAGCTTTGAGAAGGAAGGATGGCAGTCTGGCAGAGTCAGCCGTGGGATTTGGCAACTGTGAATCAAGGGAATGACGTTGGAGTGGCTGTTACATAAGGGTTACACCAGGCCAGGGAAAGCCACTGGGCCAAGCACAATGGTGTAGTGTCTGTGGGAAGCAGAGAGTGAGACAGGGAGTGACAGAAACTGAACGGTACAGGACTGGGAAGTCTTTCCCCAGTACAGAATAGATCTGGATTTAGCTGCTCTCCTGGCATTGGTGCAGGAGTGAGGAAAGGTCGTGCTTGATATGTGAGAAACAGAGAGAAGCCCCTCCACCAGACCCCACAGGAGAACTGTGGGGAGAGAACAGCAGGCCTGCCTAGCTGGGATGCTGCTGCCATCTGCTGGCTGTGAAATGCTGACCCTCCCCCTCTGTAGGATTCCTGGAGCAAGAGTATCAAAATGGATGTGGTAAAAGGCTACATGAGGGCCAGGCACTGGGCTGCTGGAATTTTACTTATGTAACACCCACACAAACTTGGGGTTGTGTGTGGTAAAGTGTGCTTTTGGTAGTTGTGTGTGTTTTTGGGGACTGGAAGAGGCCCACTTCCCTCCCCCCTCATTGTGTCCTGAGTATTGTCTTAAGATTCCTTAAAAGACCAGTAAAACCAGTTTAGTGACTCCTGAGCACATCCAGGAACACTGACCACCTTTTACTACATTGGTCTGCATTAGCAGTGTTCAAATGATGGTGTTTCTTGATTGGGACCCTGTAATGATGTCAGAAAAGTTATTAGTTAGTTCAGGCTACCTGGGGCTCGGGGCTCTTTTCTCCTGGGGCTGCTGAGAGCTGTACTGTTGAATTGGGAGTCAGCAAACCTGCTTTTGTTGGGTGGCAGGAGTGGGGGATGTCATGTCCCTGCCCTCTTCACTGGACAAGCAAGTAAAAGCTGTGTGACTGAGAAGCCTCTGGTACAGGAAGAAAAAGTCTTTCTTAGGCCTTGAGACCCCTGTTCTCTCCCTCGCCCTCTCCTTTCCCCTTTTGTTTTCTAGGTTTTGAGTGAGAAGATATCGTTGAGGGGGAGGGGAGGGTATCAATTCCATGCAGCAGACTAGCCAGAGTTGAAGCCTGGCAGTTTTGCTGGTTAGCTCTGGGCCAGGCCTAAGAGCCTGGCATGTAGAAGTTGTGGTTACACTTCTTTTGGGTCCAACCTAGATGTGTGGTTGAACCCCAGCTGCATGTCTTGATGGCAATTTTGGCCGCACAGGCCTTGAGTGGGATGGCATCATTAGTGTATTAATCCCTAGTGCGGACTGACCAGGAATGGGGTTCTGGCTGTTACTGACCTCCTGTGTTGGGGATTGTAGTGTCTCAGCATGGTGGTATAGCTGAGACTGGATGTCCAGGCTGCAGCTATAAGCCTGAGCCCTTTTTGCTGTTCCACAGCAATAGCATTTCAGCCCAGCTATGGTGGCTGAAACCCAGCCATATGACTGGCTGGCAGATTTGGGCTAGGGTGAAGCCATGGCAGTTCTTGTTGTTTATCTAGGCTTTAGTGCAGTATAGGCCTGGCCAGCTTTTTGCTGCCCAGTCCAGGTCCAGTGAAATAGGCCTGGGCCTCCTTTATGCCCAAACCAAGCAGTACGGTTGGGCACTAGTTGTAGTTCAGGTCCTTTCCGAAGTAGGCCTGACCCCTTTTTGTTTTTTCATAGCTGTTAGGTCTCGGCATAGCAGTGTAACCAAGACTAAATGTCCAGGCCGCAGCCAAATAGGCCTGGTGCTCTTTTGTTGCATGTTCAGGACAGGAGGTGCAGGACAGGCCCAAGTCCCCCCTTTTATTGTTTTACAGCTGTTGTGCCTCAGCCTAGCTGTGTCATTGAGCCCTGCTGTGTGTTTGCTGCATGTTTGGGCCTGGCATGGTTTGGGCCCGGCCCATGTTGTTGCTTTTGCAGCTCTTTGTCCTGACCAAGCAGCGTGGTTGGTGCTGGTTGCAGTTCAGGCTCGTTTGCTGTTTGGCTGGCTATTCTTTGAGTTCTCTTGCCCCGGTAGAGCTAGGATTAGGACTAGAAACTTTGGGGTGTGATATGCTGATGAAAACTGCAGTTAACCCTGCAAAGCCACCATGTGGAAGTGGAATCATAGAATCACAGAAGCAGGGTCAGAAGGGACCTTGTAGATCTTCAAGTCCGACCCCCTGCCTGGGCAGGAGAAAAACTAGGCTCAAATGATCCCAGCTAGGTAGGCATCAAGCCTCCTCTTAAGGAGGTGTTGGAGATCAACACTAGCACTAGAGCTTCTCAGGGAGCAACAAGGGGCCTCTTGCAGTGCGGGCCCCTGGAGCAGCTCATAGGACTCTCTGGTGTGGGACTCCCTCTCCATCCCATTGCTGAAGGGCAGCTATAGGAATGCAGACCCCTGGAACTACCCATTGGGGAGCCCCAAGTCCCAAACTTCCTGGGTATGGGTAAAGCCTCACCAAGAGGGTGCCACCTGTAGACCTTTAAAATTATAGTCAGTGGGGTTTTTTTTTCTTTATTCTTTGTAATAAATTTGCGTTTTGTGTTTACGCTGCTTGTGAGGGGAAGGGTTGTTGGTTTTATTGAACATCTTAGTGATTCATTTATTGTTTCCCAGATAGTCTGAGTGGGGGCTTGAGCCGAGGTGAAATAACCCAAAATTGAACCCAGCCTTTGTTACTGCTGACAGCTGCTCAGCAAAAGGGTTACACTGAGAAGTTAGGTGGGGATCAGTCTGTCTCCTGGTCAGGAGGACTGGTGGACTCCAGGGCTTGGTGGGGCACAGAGCTTGTTCACCTCTCTGGCTGCAACCCCTTCCTTTCACAGCACAGCCCTTTGTTACAAAATACACAAGTTGAAGGAAATCTTTTACAGAGAAGGTTTTACTGTGATAGAAGCTACTGTATTTTAATTGTTTAAGACAAAGCCACTATACATTTTTTCAATTAACAGGTTTATCCTTACATGTAAGAAGTGTTATAGAAACCCATACGTTACTTATAATGCCAAACAGAAACACAGCAGCAAGGGGGCCTGTGCTCTTGCAAAACTGCTATTCTGTGGGGTTGGATGATGA